AAGTGGTTGTCTGGAGTCGGTGCCAAAGTGTATGAGCGTGCGAGCTCACAGCAGCGCCCACAAAACACAATGTTAGAGGTCGAAATGTTTTTATGTAAAAATAGTTTATTAAATTAATAACTGGACTGTGGCGAGGCGCCATGGTCTCGTTCAGTGATGGGAAACACTGCTCTTCAACAATAATACAATGTTCAATAAATGTTTGATTAAATTAATTAGAATCATGAACGAATCAGCACTTAATTCTTCTATGAACATTTTTATTTTGTTACTGAAGTCAGATTTTATCAGAACGGTTCTGAATATTCTGCCTAAGGTTGGTTTTGTATGGCATCAAGTGTTTGTTCTGACCGGAAAGAAAAGTTTAAAACCACATTAACTTTCACTCAGGAGCAAAAATCAGAATTTAAACCTGAAATGTTTTATCCTGGTAACCTTTTGGCCGTATCGCCCAGCGTGATGTTGCACAGAACCGGACCTGCTGCGCTCTGTGGCCGGTCTGTACGTTACTGTTTTCAGTTTGTGTTGTGACCCTTTTTGAAATGTGTTTATCTCGGAGCCTCAGCTCGTGATCTGTCATGTCTGTCGGCCACCGAGCCTTCCAGTACAGACCTCCCCCCCCCGGTGTCATCTGATACCCTGCTGCTAATTTTGGCCTCAGCACTACATTTGGCTGCCAGCTGTGTGTGTGAATCGTGCTGAGCCGAGTCACGTCCAGAATATTCAGCCCAGCAGAGAGGAGAGCGCTGACGACACTGGAAGCAAACTGGCAGCTGATCTCCACCGAGATGCAGGTCTGTAGACCCGCTGCAGGATCAGTTTAACCCCTTTAGTAGATGCGGCAGATTCTGCTCAGGTGCCGTTACTCTTTACTGCTACACAGGCTTTTTGTAAAAGCTGTGGTCTGTGTGCATGATGGCGAGCAGGTGTTTATCCACGAGGCAGCGTTCAGTATGAGTTAAAGTTTGCTCGAGAGACGTGTTCAGAATATCTGTAGAGATGGAGCAGTGGAGCCTCTGACGGTCTGTCAGAGAGCCGGCCGGAGCCAGACGCCGTGTGCCGGGTGATATTTTTACCTGACTGGTCTCTGCTGCCTCCAGACCAGCGGATCCAGTTACACTTCCTGCTCTCACCGCGGCAGACGGGGCCTCCCGGCCACACTCCAGGGCCTGCCGGGCGTGCTCTCAGCGGTTAGCCTGAAATGTTGAACTTGTTTTTTGACTTTGCACTGAAAGAATGAACACGAGGCGTATGAGAACCAACGGAGACCGGCAGCTGAGTATGGACACTGCTGAGACCAGCTACTGCTTCTGCTACCTGGATCAGGGGACTCGCCTGTCTGACCTGCAGACTGCCGCTGACTGTCTGCAGGTCAGTTCCACTGTGAGTCTGTTGTAACCTTTCAAATGAACCTGGACTAACCTGAACCCTCAGTGAGTTCATGGTTTTTCACACTACAGGGTTTTGGGTCGGAGGACAGGGGCAAGGTCACGTGACTTTATTATCTGCAGTTTCCCACTGGGATTAAAAAATATCTTATCTGAATCGATGCAATGATGAATCCTGTTGCTTTAGTTTGAACCTGAGTTCTTGTGGTCTTGGACCCGGTGCTGACTCTGGTGGCCCTGTTTGTCTGACCCTCCTCCTTCTCTGTCCTTTTCCTCTCAGGACTCTGAGTCTTTGGACCGCTGCATCCAGACTGCTCTGTCAGACCTCTACCCGCCCTTCCAGGCCACATCCCCGACTGTCCTCTGTCAGGTCCTCAGCGTGGTGCAGAGCTGCTACAGAGGAGACGGCCTTCGCTACCTGATCCACTTCCTGTTGCCCGCAAAGCAGCTGTTAGCCAACCTGCAGCAAGACGCCTGCGTGAGTATACGGGGAGGGTATACGTACTGGGGGGGGGGGGGAGCCTTCGACGCTGTCTGTGGAGCAGGAGTCAGTGCTGCAGACCCTTTTACTGTGGTCACGGTCCAATCGATCGTCGGCTCACCTGCCTCTCCTCCATTCTGTGTTTTGGGTTTTTGTTCTGGAGTTGTGGTTCACATGACGGAGGAGTCAGGAGAATAACGCCTGCCTGACCCTCTGTTTCAAGCTGAAAAATTTCAATTTCAATTTTTAATTGATCCTAATCTTCTCTCCTCCTCCTCCTCCTCCTCTCAGCTGCAGTACTGTGGTCTGCTGTTTCGCCATGAAGGCTGGCCTCTGTGCGTCCATGAGAAGGTAGCGGTTCAGCTCTGTCCTCTGGACCAACGCCTCCTCCGTCCAGGAGACTTCTACCTGCTGGTTTCTCCTCCTGCTGCTGTTCCTCGTCCTCAAGCACGCAGCGCCTCCTGTCGGAGCGCCGTGTCCTCCTCCCCCCGCCTGCTCGTGTGCAGCGTGTCGGCCGGCAGCCGTCATGTGGAGCAGCAGGAGGTGTCGGAGATAGCCCTGCGGTCCATCTTCAGCATGGCCTGGCTGGACTCTGTTAACAGGGAGAGGGAGCAGCGAGGAGCATCCAGGCTGGAGCGCTGCCTCCTCTCTGCCCACGGAGACGTCTTCAGGGTCCCGTGGGAGGACCTGGTCTATCCACAGTTCATCAGCCGGCCCCGGACCTCCTGAAGGAGGATAAGGAGTCGTCCGTTAAGGATGGAGATGCGTTAATTAATGCATCTCACAATCCGTGTAGCGACAGGAGACAGGATGTACAGCTCCTCCCAGCTACAAAAACTGACCAATCAGCAGCGAGCAGTGAGGGCGAGGACTCGGAGGGCGAGTACGTGGAGCTGATGGAGCTCCCGCTGCCTCGCTTCTCCCTCAGAAAGGCTCCTTAACCCAGTCCATCAGTCTGCAGCACGAGCCAGAACCAGCGCACACTGCGCCACGCACACACCTCAACACGCACCTCAACACACCCACTCCACCACGCACACACCTCAACACGCACCTCAAGACGCACACTCCGCCACGCACACACCTCAACAAACCCACTCCACCACGCACACACCTCAACACACACCTCAAGACGCACACTCCGCCACGCACACACCTCAACAACCCACTCCACCACGCACACACCTCAACACACCCACACCTCCACGCACACACCTCAACACGCACCTCAAGACGCACTCTCCGCCACGCACACACCTCAAGACGCACTCTCCGCCACGCACACACCTCAAGACGCACTCTCCGCCACGCACACACCTCAAGACGCACTCTCCGCCACGCACACACCTCAAGACGCACTCTCCGTCACGCACACACCTCAACACACACCGACTGACGCTACGACACACTCCGCCAGTAACACACACGCCACTTCCCACGCTGGGCTGTGCTCCAGGCTCCTCGAGGAGAACCTCAGCCAGGACTCCTGTGGACCCGTCATCCTCACCCCCATCTCCCCCACCTCCTCCTCTGCTCCTCCTGAAGTCGTGGGAACCTCCAGCTGTCAGTCGGAGCGCTGGACGTCTCAGGAGCAAAGAGGAGGTACTGACTCAGGCGGGAGTCTGAAGCTAAACACTGAACCTGCAAACTGCACAGAGCAGAGAGAGGAAGAGGAGGAGGTGGAGGAGAGCAAGGAGGAGGTGGCAGTGAAAGAGCGAGGGAAAGAGGAGGAGCTGAGGGAGAGGGAGAAAGGGAAGCATGACATGGTGGTTGATGAGGATGAGGAAATGGAAGAAGAGCTGAAGTGTAGTAGGGATGAAGATTTACTGTTGTGCACACACACTGCTGAGGAGGGAGGAGAAAGGGAGGAGGAGGAGGAGGAGGGAAATGAATGTGAAGAGACAGAGGGTGAGGAAGAGTTGGATGAGGAGGGAGGCGATGAGTTTGAGGAGGTGGAGCTAGAAGAGGAAGTTCAAGTTAGAATCGTGCAGCAGAGTCAAGGAAGGAGGGTGGAGGAGGAGCAAATGATGACGGAAGACAAGAGAGGAGGAGAAGGGGAAGATGATGACAGAGGTGAACAAAGGCGCACAGATGAGGAGGCTGGCTCATGTACGAACACGAGCTCTGAGGACTCTGATTGTGAAAAGAACAGACAATACACAGTGGAGTCCAACACACAACACTCTGAGGACTCTTATTCTGAAAATAATACACAGCATACACAGTCTGAAGACACTTATTCTGAAAACACACTACAAATGCACAATGAGAACTCTTATTCTGAAAATAATACACAGCATATACAGTCTGAAGACACTTATTCTGAAAACACACTACAAATGCACAATGAGAACTCTTATTCTGAAAATAATACACAGCATACACATTCTCAGGGCACTGATTCTGAAAACAAAAAACAACTAGCACACTCTGAGGACTCTAATTCTGAAAACAACGCACTACAGACACACATGGAGGAGTCTAACACACCAGCGATGGATCCAGACTCACTTCCGTCTGAAAGTGGACAGGAAAGGCCGGAGGAGGAAGACGAGGAAGAAGAGGAGCAGTGCAGCTGTGAGGAGGTTGGTGGAGGAAGAACTACAGAGCTTCAGACTGAAGGTACAGAAACCTGTTTCCCCTCTCAATCCTTCCCTCTTTTCTGCTTTTCATCCCACAAACCATCAGACTCTTTCTATCACCTCCTCCTCTGATTCGCTGAATTAGTCCTCCTCCTCCTCCTCCTCCTCACCTTCATCCTCAGTAAAAACACACACTGACCTTCACCTCCTGTTCTAACTCTAAACACACTGCCGTTTGGAAGGAAGTTAGGTAGGAGTGACGGGAGGCGGCCCGTTGGTGAACTGGTTTATTAGTGGACTAGTTAGAGGACTGCAGGTCAGCTGGTTAGAGGACTGCAGGTCAGCTGGTTAGAGGACTAGTTAGAGGACTGCAGGTCAGCTGGTTAGAGGACTGCAGGTCAGCTGGTTAGAGGACTAGTTAGAGGACTGCAGGTCAGCTGGTTAGAGGACTGCAGGTCAGCTGGTTAGAGGACTAGTTAGAGGACTGCAGGTCAGCTGGTTAGAGGACTAATTAGAGGACTGCAGGTCAGCTGGTTAGAGGACTGCAGGTCAGCTGGTTAGTGGACTGCAGGTCAGCTGGTTAGAGGACTAATTAGAGGACTGCAGGTCAGCTGGTTAGAGGACTGGTTAGAGGACTGCAGGTCAGCTGGTTAGAGGACTAGTTAGAGGACTGCAGGTCAGCTGGTTAGAGGACTAATTAGAGGACTGCAGGTCAGCTGGTTAGAGGACTAGTTAGAGGACTGCAGGTCAGCTGGTTAGAGGACTGCAGAGCAGCTGGTTAGAGGACTAGTTAGAGGACTGCAGGTCAGCTGGTTAGAGGACTGCAGAGCAGCTGGTTAGAGGACTGCAGGTCAGCTGGTTAGAGGACTGCAGAGCAGCTGGTTAGAGGACTGCAGGTCAGCTGGTTAGAGGACTGCAGGTCAGCTGGTTAGAGGACTGCAGGTCAGCTGGTTAGTGGACTGCAGGTCAGCTGGTTAGAGGACTGCAGGTCAGCTGGTTAGAGGACTAGTTAGAGGACTGCAGGTCAGCTGGTTAGAGGACTGCAGGTCAGCTGGTTAGAGGACTAGTTAGAGGACTGCAGGTCAGCTGGTTAGAGGACTGCAGGTCAGCTGGTTAGAGGACTAATTAGAGGACTGCAGGTCAGCTGGTTAGAGGACTGGTTAGAGGACTGCAGGTCAGCTGGTTAGAGGACTACTTAGAGGACTGCAGGTCAGCTGGTTAGAGGACTGCAGGTCAGCTGGTTAGAGGACTGCAGGTCAGCTGGTTAGAGGACTGGTTAGAGGACTGCAGGTCAGCTGGTTAGAGGACTGGTTAGAGGACTGCAGGTCAGCTGGTTAGAGGACTAATTAGAGGACTGCAGGTCAGCTGGTTAGAGGACTAGTTAGAGGACTGCAGGTCAGCTGGTTAGAGGACTGCAGGTCAGCTGGTTAGAGGACTGCAGGTCAGCTGGTTAGAGGACTAATTACAGGACTGCAGGTCAGCTGGTTAGAGGACTAGTTAGAGGACTGCAGGTCAGCTGGTTAGTGGACTGCAGGTCAGCTGGTTAGAGGACTGCAGGTCAGCTGGTTAGAGGACTGCAGGTCAGCTGGTTAGAGGACTGCAGGTCAGCTGGTTAGAGGACTGCAGGTCAGCTGGTTAGAGGACTAGTTAGAGGACTGCAGGTCAGCTGGTTAGAGGACTGCAGGTCAGCTGGTTAGAGGACTGCAGGTCAGCTGGTTAGAGGACTAATTAGTGGACTGCAGGTCAGCTGGTTAGAGGACTAATTAGAGGACTGCAGGTCAGCTGGTTAGAGGACTGGTTAGAGGACTGCAGGTCAGCTGGTTAGAGGACTGGTTAGAGGACTGCAGGTCAGCTGGTTAGAGGACTGCAGGTCAGCTGGTTAGAGGACTGCAGGTCAGCTGGTTAGAGGACTGCAGGTCAGCTGGTTAGAGGACTAATTAGAGGACTGCAGGTCAGCTGGTTAGAGGACTAATTAGAGGACTGCAGGTCAGCTGGTTAGAGGACTGGTTAGAGGACTGCAGGTCAGCTGGTTAGAGGACTAATTAGAGGACTGCAGGTCAGCTGGTTAGAGGACTGCAGAGCAGCTGGTTAGAGGACTGCAGGTCAGCTGGTTAGAGGACTGCAGGTCAGCTGGTTAGAGGACTAGTTAGAGGACTGCAGGTCAGCTGGTTAGAGGACTGCAGGTCAGCTGGTTAGAGGACTGCAGGTCAGCTGGTTAGAGGACTAGTTAGAGGACTGCAGGTCAGCTGGTTAGTGGACTGCAGGTCAGCTGGTTAGAGGACTGCAGGTCAGCTGGTTAGAGGACTGCAGGTCAGCTGGTTAGAGGACTAATTAGAGGACTGCAGGTCAGCTGGTTAGAGGACTGCAGGTCAGCTGGTTAGAGGACTAGTTAGAGGACTGCAGGTCAGCTGGTTAGTGGACTGCAGGTCAGCTGGTTAGAGGACTGCAGGTCAGCTGGTTAGAGGACTGCAGGTCAGCTGGTTAGAGGACTAGTTAGAGGACTGCAGGTCAGCTGGTTAGAGGACTGCAGGTCAGCTGGTTAGAGGACTGCAGGTCAGCTGGTTAGAGGACTAATTACAGGACTGCAGGTCAGCTGGTTAGAGGACTAGTTAGAGGACTGCAGGTCAGCTGGTTAGTGGACTGCAGGTCAGCTGGTTAGTGGACTGCAGGTCAGCTGGTTAGTGGACTGCAGGTCAGCTGGTTAGAGGACTGCAGGTCAGCTGGTTAGAGGACTAGTTAGAGGACTGCAGGTCAGCTGGTTAGAGGACTGCAGGTCAGCTGGTTAGAGGACTGCAGGTCAGCTGGTTAGAGGACTAATTAGTGGACTGCAGGTCAGCTGGTTAGAGGACTAATTAGAGGACTGCAGGTCAGCTGGTTAGAGGACTGGTTAGAGGACTGCAGGTCAGCTGGTTAGAGGACTGGTTAGAGGACTGCAGGTCAGCTGGTTAGAGGACTGCAGGTCAGCTGGTTAGAGGACTGCAGGTCAGCTGGTTAGAGGACTGCAGGTCAGCTGGTTAGAGGACTGGTTAGAGGACTGCAGGTCAGCTGGTTAGAGGACTAATTAGAGGACTGCAGGTCAGCTGGTTAGAGGACTGCAGAGCAGCTGGTTAGAGGACTGCAGGTCAGCTGGTTAGAGGACTGCAGGTCAGCTGGTTAGAGGACTAATTACAGGACTGCAGGTCAGCTGGTTAGAGGACTGCAGGTCAGCTGGTTAGAGGACTAGTTAGAGGACTGCAGGTCAGCTGGTTAGAGGACTGCAGGTCAGCTGGTTAGAGGACTGCAGGTCAGCTGGTTAGAGGACTAGTTAGTGGACTGCAGGTCAGCTGGTTAGTGGACTGCAGGTCAGCTGGTTAGAGGACTGCAGGTCAGCTGGTTAGAGGACTGCAGGTCAGCTGGTTAGAGGACTAATTAGAGGACTGCAGGTCAGCTGGTTAGAGGACTGCAGGTCAGCTGGTTAGAGGACTAGTTAGAGGACTGCAGGTCAGCTGGTTAGTGGACTGCAGGTCAGCTGGTTAGAGGACTGCAGGTCAGCTGGTTAGAGGACTGCAGGTCAGCTGGTTAGAGGACTAGTTAGAGGACTGCAGGTCAGCTGATTAGAGGACTGCAGGTCAGCTGGTTAGAGGACTGCAGGTCAGCTGGTTAGAGGACTAATTACAGGACTGCAGGTCAGCTGGTTAGAGGACTAATTAGAGGACTGCAGGTCAGCTGGTTAGAGGACTGCAGGTCAGCTGGTTAGAGGACTAATTAGAGGACTGCAGGTCAGCTGGTTAGAGGACTAGTTAGAGGACTGCAGGTCAGCTGGTTAGAGGACTGCAGGTCAGCTGGTTAGAGGACTGCAGGTCAGCTGGTTAGAGGACTAGTTGGAGGTTGGCTGGTTAGTGGACTAGTTAGAGGACTAGTTAGAGGACTGCAGGTCAGCTGGTTAGAGGACTAGTTGGAGGTTGGCTGGTTAGTAGGGCTCGACCTGAATATTTGATTGTTGGGTACACATTCGATTTTCAATTTTGGGATTCGAATATTGATTTTTTTTCGCCTGACCTCTGCCCACAGCAGTAAACTTAATGCTCCAGTTCACATCAACGGGAAACCAGAATGAAGCCCTCAGCTCTGTCTGTAATCTGAGTGATGGCAGCGTGGCAGTTATGGGGTTTCGGAACATTTAGTAGGCTTTTAAAAAAAGGTCTTGTTACTTTCTGCTACCGTAAACGGTGCTCATCCCGTCTGCTCTCTCTGGTCTGCGTCGGCGCGACATGGAGTCACGTTTTTGGGGGTGTGCGCGTCAGGCAGGTGTACGTTCAGTGCAGAAGTATAAACTGGCCTCAGTGAGGTTCTCCCGTCTTTAAAGGTCTGTTGGAGGGTAAAGAGCTGGTTTTGGGGTTTATGTGTTGTGTCACAGTGACGGTCCTCACAGGGTGTGCGTGTTCTCTCCTCAGGCCTCAGCAGTCTGTCTGCTGGTCCCAGTCCAACAGAACCAGAACAACCCGTAGCCTCTCCACAGCCGGACCAGTCAGCTGCTTCCTCAGCCCCAGTGAGGCTCACCCAGTCCTCCCAGTCCAAGCAGTCCAGCTTCTACCGGGTGCTGCTGAGCTCTGGAGCCCTCTGTCTGCCAGGTGAGAAAAAACAGGTCTAGACCCGGAGCAGGTACTGACCCCGGAACAGACCGAGCTCGGGACTAAACCCAGACCAGGGTCAAGGCATGAAACGAGCTTCTGGTGGTTCTGAATGTCCACTTGAGTCCGGAGCTCCGAGCTTTGTTTTAGTGTGAAGCAGCGACGATCATGTGACTGATGGTGTTTGAAGCATGATGTCATCACCGGGACACACGGGTTCTGTAATGAGCCCTGATTAGATCCGATCAGGTTCACCGATAAAATGAAGTCTTGGTTCTGGTCCTGTTTCCTCGCAGCTCGGTACATTTTTACACCTCCACCGTCTCTCTGCAGGAACCAGAGACCGCAGTGGCCGCGCTTTGCTGGCGGTCAGCACCACGAACACCGTGTGGTCGAACCCCGACTGTGACAGCGCAGAGCTGCTCCGCCTCCTGCTCTACTACACCTCCACCCTCAGGTAGGAACCCCCACCCGCTCCACCGCTCTCTCTCTCAGCTTACTGTACCGTGGTCCTCCTCTGACGTCACTTCTTGTGTGGAACAGGAAGGAGGTGGCAGCGTTGGGGCTGACGGTGCTGGTGGACGCCCGCAGAGCCGCTCCTGTCCCCGCCCTGTTCTCCGCCCTCAGGTCCCTACAGGTGAGTGTTTTTAAAGTTAGAGGAGGTAAAGTTCAGTGAGATGAAACGGATGAAGTCTCAAGACTCGGCTGTTCAGAGATGAAACTTTATAACGCTGTAGACGGGCGGGCAGACTAAGAAAGTCCAAACCACCGTCTCAATATTACAGTGCCGGGCTTCAAGTTGATTTGCATTTCATTTTCACAAAGAACTTCTCAGGATGTTGTTTGAATATTGACACATGAGAACAGGTGGAAAATCATCAGGCTCAGGAGGTCAGGAGTCGTCCTCTCCCTGGTCCTGGTTTAAACCCCCTCCTGAGGGGACCAGCAGCAGCACGTCTTCGTCCTCTGGTCTCAGTGTTTCAGCTCCTTGTGAGGGAGGTGGGGGGTGAAAGCGACAGCTGATTAAAGACGAATCTTACTCTGAGTCTGTGTGTCTGTGCAGGAGAACGTACCAGGCTCCATCCACACTGTGTTCCTGCTGGTCAGCAAGGACTCGTCTCTGCGTCCGGACAGACCTGCAGCCACACAGGTAACGCCTGACACCTGGTTACTGTCGAAACCACACGTGTGTGCAGTAGGGACGGGTATCACTTCCGTCGATACCTTTTATGTTATCAACAGAAGCAGCCCGGTATGGAGTAGAATTGAATCGTCTCCAGTCAAATCAGTACTTCAATCAATACTTTCTGTCACCAGATGGTAGCAGAAAATGACTTTGTGTGGTTTCACTTGCAGCCAAACACACAGAAAGAAAGAGAAGAGCAGCTTTTCTCCTGCACCATAAACTGTGTAAATAAGGCTCTATGCTGATTTTAACAGCCGCTCACCTTCGGCTGCGTCTCAGGCGTGTTTCTCACCACAAGCTCGGCTTTCTGTTGTTTTTATCCTCTGAGATCATTTAACACGTCTCTGTACATTTTTATTTGCTGTTCCCATCACTTGTCACTGATCGATCGCTGCGTTCCATCACACCAGTTAAAGCTTTTGTGGCGCAGCAGCTGATTTTCCTGACGGAGCCTCCGGACCTAATCAGGACGAGCAGGATCTGATACAGTTCCCCTAAACTTTTACGTAACAGATATTGAAACACGAAAAAATAAAATAGATAACCTTGCTTGTCCATAAGAACAATAAAAATAATAATACGCTACCAATCAACTACTACAGCTTCAACAGGTGGCATATCAAGGTATCGAATGACGTACTCTGTTGTCTGTGAAGTTTCTTAGTTATCCAACGAAGGTTGAGGTCAAGGGCAACTTGACTTGGTTGAAGATACTAGGAGACGTTTCGTCCCTCATCCGAGAGACTTCTTCAGTTCTGACTGACTAAATAAACTAAACAACCACGACACAAACGCATGGCTCAACACAGAAGGGCCAACTCCTCAGGTCAAGACTCTGCAGTCTACTTACATCTGAAGGACCGAGGACACCAGGTGCACATTTTAGACAAAGAGGATCGACTGTTTGAAAGAGGTGTCAAGGAAGCACCTACACCCGGGTTGAGAAGCCGTCGCTGAACAGAGGAGGGGGTCTACGCCACCACTTACCCCCCTTTCATCACTTAGCAGGAAACTCGAGCATTTCCTCTTGGCTTCAGGTGAAGATGCCAACGATGGTCGTTCAGACTTGGCTCTCAGATGAGGGCCGAAATGTCTTCTTGGATCTTCAGCCAAGTCCAGTTGCCCTTGATTTAAACCTTCGTTGGATAAGTACTCTTTTGGTATTGGTATCACTTTAAGGGTACTGGTTTTGGTACTGGTGTCGTAACATTTTAATCGATACCCAGCCCTAGCGTGCAGCAGCTCAGTGATCAGACTTCTCCCCGACCTCTGATCTTATTTTGGATCTGCTTCCATCCAGCCGTTCTGCAGTCTGTAGTTCTGCACATGCTCTCACCTGGCTAAATATATCAACAGTCTCTGTCCAGGTGAAATCTACCTGAGGAAACCAGGTTTCTCTTACCCTCCGCCTGCTAACAGAGAGCAGATTGTGGTTTTCATCATGTGACTGCACACAGCACGTACACACCGTGTGTGTTTCTGTGTGCGCAGGTGGAGGTGTTGAGCTCTCTGAAGTCTGTCCAGAAACACGTGGCGCTCCAGCAGCTTCCCGCAGAGTTCGGAGGGTCTTTCAGCTTCAGTCAGAGCAGCTGGCTCTGCTTCAGATCGGTCAGTACAAACACACAGACACTCTTATTCATGCTCTGATTGGACGACCACAGTCAGGTAGTTATCACAGGTGGCGCCCCTCCCCTCCACAGTGTTCTCCTGCTGTAGTTTTATGAAGCACACTTTGCTGTTCATAGTTTTTCTTTGCTTTTATGTTTCTGTTGGATCGAAATGTAACAGAACCCTCAGATCTTTGTCGATCCGCTTCTTTCGTCAGTGTTCTCACATGACTGTTCATAGTGAACCCACAGAGAGAGAATCGCCAACTCTTTCAGCTGCAGCTGTTTCTGCACATGACGTGTTAACGTGTGTGTGTGTGTGTGTGTGTGTGTGTCCGTCAGAGGGTGGAGCAGCTGACCAGTCAGTGTGAAAACGTCGTCAACCTCCTGCAGAAAACCATCAACATCCTGCAGTCCACACCTCTACCTGCTGCAGCTCAGGTAACACACACCTTTCTTTAACCTTCATGAGGTCACTGACTAATTACAAACACGCCTGTGACCACGTGAACAAACTGCAGGCCTGACCGTGAGCTGCAGATCATCATGCCGCTGGTTCGGTTCCTCAGCTCCGCCTCCCTTCGTGTCACACGGCCGGAGCGCTCAACAAACCTCCCTCTCTTTCCCAGGACGCCGAGCTGCTGTTGTCCAGGTACAAGGCGGTGATGCGTAGCATCCTCGAAGACAGCCGATTGGTGCAGTTACAGCAGGAGGGCGGAGCCTCACTGTCGCGGCTCCGCAGGGAGGAGAGCAGCGTCAGAGAGACCGAAGATTACCGGGCGGCGATGGAGACGGTGTCGTCTCTGTACGAGGAGGTGGACGAGCTGCTGCACCGCCTGGTGATGCTGTCCAACTCCAGGACCCAGGAGCTGCACTTCATCCTGGAGTTCAGAAGCCTGGAGCAGGGCTTCACCGAGGTCAGTCTGAGCACGCTCAGTACGCACTCTGCTGACAGGAAGGTCATCGTGTTACTGTGAAGATTCAGACCTTTAGCACATTTCAGTCTGCAGTCCAGCCACACCTGTGACACCCTGCTGCTGAGGTGCATCACCTTGTTTCATCATGAGCCAACATGCTGTCTCTCAGGATCAGTTTGTGCACCAGAGAGCGAAAGGAAGTGAAATGTCTCCCACACCACAGATCTGCTCAGTCAGCCTCCAGTTCAGACAGCTGTTAGTGGCATCTGACACAAGGGCTGCGTTCAGACTGCAGGCCGCAGCGACCCAAACCCGATGATATGCCCATATGTGACTCAGATCTGATCTTTTTATGACGGTGTGAACAGGCCATGTCGCATCCATATGCGGCTCCAATCTGATAAATACGCTGCTATGATCCTGATGAGCTTTATGACTGAATAACATGTTGGAATATTAAAAAGACACCTTTGTGATATTTATTTTAATTGTTATATTAATGAACTGATCAAAAGAAAATAAAGGTTAGATTAATCAATTAAAAAGTCATGTTTAGGTGCAGCCCAGTTCCCAGAACCCCTTTTGGCTTTGCTGCTGTCTTACCAACTAGTAAAATCATACCTGTGTCTCAGGTGAGCTCCTGGCTGGAGGAGGTCGGGGAGGTTCGTCTGAAGAGTCTGAGTGAACCGGAGGATTCACTGGAGCTTCTGAACAAGAAGCAACACGACTTCAAAGATTTCCACACTACTGCATATGTAAGGCGCGCGCACACACACACACACACACACACACACACACACACACACACACACACACACTCAAACGGCCCTTTCCCCTTAGCTGGGCCCTAAAACCAGGTCTTAAACGGCCCTTTCCCTTGAGCTGGGCCCTAAAACCAGGTCTTAAACGGCCCTTTCCCCTGAGCTGGGCCCTAAAACCAGGTCTTAAACGGCCCTTTCCCCTGAGCTGGGCCCTAAAACCAGGTCTTAAACGGCCCTTTCTCCTGAGCTGGGCCCTAAAACCAGGTCTTAAACGGCCCTTTCCCCTGAGCTGGGCCCTAAAACCAGGTCTTAAACGGCCCTTTCCCTTGACCTGGGCCCTAAAACCAGGTCTTAAACGGCCCTTTCCCCTGAGCTGGGCCCTAAAACCAGGTCTTAAACGGCCCTTTCCCCTGAGCTGGGCCCTAAAACCAGGTCTTAAACGGCCCTTTCCCTTGACCTGGGCCCTAAAACCAGGTCTTAAACGGCCCTTTCCCTTGACCTGGGCCCTAAAACCAGGTCTTAAACGGCCCTTTCCCCTGAGCTGGGCCCTAAAACCAGGTCTTAAACGGCCCTTTCCCTTGACCTGGGCCCTAAAACCAGGTCTTAAACGGCCCTTTCCCCTGAGCTGGGCCCTAAAACCAGGTCTTAAACGGCCCTTTCCCCTGAGCTGGGCCCTAAAACCAGGTCTTAAACGGCCCTTTCCCTTGACCTGGGCCCTAAAACCAGGTCTTAAACGGCCCTTTCCCCTGAGCTGGGCCCTAAAACCAGGTCTTAAACGGCCCTTTCCCCTGAGCTGGGCCCTAAAACCAGGTCTTAACTTTAAACCCGAAGCGGTCGGACCCCTTCAGGTGAATCCCGGTTCTTGGACTCCATGAACACAGGAGAACGGTCCTGCACACAGATGTTCATCTGTTTTCTTCTTCTCTCCCTGCAGGAGCGCTGCAGACGTGGCGAGGCCTTGTTGGCTCGTCTGGAGCGTTGGGGCGACATGTCGTCAGCTGACCTCCACGTCTATGAGGCCAAGGTTCATTCTTTCTGGGCTCAGCTTCAGGACTTCTCTCAGCGGGTCAACGCCAGCGGCCAGAACATCGAGCGGGCCGTGCGACTGTACCGCTTCTTGGACCAGGTACAGTTCCTGTCAGCCTGTCGTGTTTTCTGCAAATAAACCATTAGACAGTTTGCTTCCTGTTTCTGCCGGCACGCGTTCATGTGATGTGCGTTTTCAGGCGTGTTGGTGTGGGTGGTGAGCGTTTTTGAAACTGCTAGACGCTTTAAACATTTTAACATCAGAAAGAAATGTGTGGACGCCGCGTAGCCGAAATCCACCTGCTGCTTTTTACATGAGATGTCAGGGAGCGTTCACACATCTCCTCCTCCTCCTCCTCCTCCTCCTCCCCCCTCCCTGTCGTCTTCCTGCAGTGAAACTGACAGCTTGTATTGAGGGAGGTGGGGGGGCGGGGGTGAGAGTGTCAATAATGTTTTGTATCCTGGCCTCTGCTGGCTATAAAGGGGGTGATGGTCACGTGACCTGTACTGTAGGAGTGTGTGTGTGTGTCCGTATCAGTGGCAGCTCATTGTAGTTCAGGACGTGGACTTGGGATTATCGTGGACTCACTGTTGGGCCACACAGAACACACACACACTAAAACTAACACACACACACACACACTAAAACTAACACACACACACACTAAAACTAACACACACACACACACTAAAACTAACACACACACACACTAAAACTAACACACACACACACACTAAAACTAACACACACACACACTAAAACTAACACACACACACACTAAAACTAACACACACACACACACTAAAACTAACACACACACACACACTAAAACTAACACACACACACACACTACTAACACACACACTAAAACTAACACACACACACACACTAAAACTAACACACACAAACACACACTAAAACTAACACACACACACACTAAAACTAACACACACACACACACTAAAACTAACACACACACACACTAAAACTAACACACACACACACACACACTAAAACTAACACACACTAAAACTAACACACACACACAAAGAGTCACAGCGTGAAACTGCGTCCGCTGGAAACCCCGTATCTCCACATGGTGTTTGGTCCGGACAGACACATGTGAAACTGTGTGTGTGTGTTAGTGTGTAGTCCAGGTGTGACTCCGGTGCCAAGTTTTCCTTCCTCCTTTCACTCCTTTCTCAAAGTCTTTGTTGCCGTGGCGACCCCCCCTCCCCCTCCTCCTGGGACCGCCCATCTGCCATTCAGCCTGGGGGGGGGCGGGGTCACTGTGTGTGTGTGTGGTCGGGCTGCCGCTCTCAGTCAGGCTGCAGCGCTTCACCAGAACACACCGAGGTACGATCCACTAACACACACACACACACACACAGGTGTGCAGCTTTAATAGTGTTGTGTAGTTTGTGTGTAGTTGTTGAGTAGTTTGGTGTTTAGTTGGCGTCAGTTTGACTTCAGAGCGGTCTGTGATTTGAACGCTGCTCTACTCTCTCTCTCTGTCTCCCTCCCTGTGTGTGTGTGTGTGTGTGGTGTTAGCAGACGTTAGCTGGACCCGTGTGAGTGGGTCCGGGTCTGATGGAGGGTTCTGACGTGGTTTTAGGTCCAGGTTGGGATCCGGTTCAGGCTCGGCGGTGACTTTGGTTCTGGTGTAGAATAGTTGGAGGCAGCGGCGTGTCCTGTAAGACGTGCGCAGCGTGACAGTAACTCAGTGGTTTGATGGGATCAGTTGGTTCACCTGCTGCGGGACGCTCTGACCCTGCAGAGAGGCGGAGTTTAGGCTCCTCCATCGTTACAGAGCGCGTCCTGCAGCACGCCGTGTGTCAGACTCCCGGTTTCCTGCTGCAGTGTTTTACCCAGAGTTCACCCTGACAGATTCAGATCTGTAAATAAAGCTGTGTGTTTGTGTGGTTCCTGGTTCTGTGTGTCATGTTCTCGGAGAACGCGGTCAGATCAGCGGTGAACAGTTTGTGTTCCAGCTGGCGAGATACGGCGAGGAGCTCACTTCCTGTGTGACATCTCAAACACTTTCTAAACATCCTAATCGGGTGGAAGTCACCGAACGACCTTCTGTGGGTATGATTGGTCGACGCTGTAATCAGTGCGTCCTGCAGTACGCTGCGTGTGTCCTGGAGATCAACCTGAACCGAAACACCAGAACCAGGAGGAGGAGGCCGTTTCTCCTCCGTTGGTGCCTCAGTGAGCCGCAGAGCTTCAGTTCAGTTCCTCCTCAGGTCCTCGCTGATCTTCACATCTGCAGTGAGGACAGTTAGTGATCAGATCCCCGCAGCAGAGACGAGTTTGATTCTCAGGAAACAGACTCTAAATATCAAATACAGCTGGAAGAGACGCCGCAGCTGTCAGGTTTCAAAGGCAAAGAGCCTAAAGGTCCGTGGGTCTCTGATGGTTTGTGCTTTTAAAAAGTCAATAACAGGAAAAACAGCTGAAGTGATGATCAGTTCAGGATCCAGCAGTCCAGTCTGTTTCCTGCTGAAGCTCTAAAAACAACAGCTGATTGGCTCAGTAAATAAGTTGGTGTATAAACTGTCTGAAGTAGGACCCTCCTCCTCCTCCTCCTCCTTCTCCTCCTCCTCCCCTTCTTCTCTCCTCTTTGGTTGACTGGATCCAAGTCTGGAGTCCTGTCCCCAAAAACCAGAGCCTGTCTGGTCCTGGTCAGTCCTGCCCCCCCCCCCCCCCCCCCCCTTCTGTCTCTGCAGCACAATAACAACCACATGTTATTGTCATTAGAGTCCCAGTCCCCCTCTCCTCTCCTCTCCTCTCCTCTTGTTTTGAAACATCCAGAGTAAAACAGTGAAGCTGAAATAGTACGTCGATCGATCAGTGATCAGAAGATAAAACCAGCTCTTGTCTGTTTTAATGATTGAGGGCACCAAATCAGTTTGGTATCGCACCTTTATAAAGTCAAAGGACTCGAAGGAAACAGATTCAAAAACCAAATCTGAGCAGCAGAGGTGGAGACATCCTGAATTTAGTCCAGAAACCCTAGGTCCTACCTTTCCCATAACGCACCTGGAGAGTGCCTGGTAAACTGCCGTGTCTCGTTCTCTACATGAACCGGAAGGACCAAAGTCACTCGTTCACTTCACAGACCAACCGTTCAGTGATCAGAGAGAAAAGACGAAGAGTAAACAGCTGTTAGTTGCAGAGTGAATCCAGAGTGAAATGGGTGATGTAGTGATGTCTCACTGAGCGTCCTGCACAGAGGTCAGATGTGTTTGTCTGGTTGGACTGGGGTCAAAACGGGTCACATGCTTATTTCACTCGCTGCAGGCCAGCGACAGTCGCTCAGGGCGTCGTGCTGCAGAACGTAAAGCTGAAGCTCACTGAGAACCATCTGCGGTCAGAACATGGGTCAGATGTGGATCAGAGGTGGTCAGCAGCCTGAGGGAGCCCTCAGAGACCTTATGGCTCTGGGACCCGGTGACAGACGGCTCAGCCTCTGCTGAAGCCTCTGAACGGGTGTTTGTCCCCACTCAGTGTCTACTGAGACGCTCTGAGGTCTTTCACAGACACGACGCTTTAACCAGATCAGTGTCATTTCACTCAGCCCCAAGCCCCGCCCCCATCTCCTAACTCAGCTGATTGAATGAACCCTTTCACATACACACACATAGCGCCGGGGTGTGTGTGCGCGTGGGAACTGAGCGGCTGCAGTGATCAGGACACATCAGCCAGCTAATCAGTTAGAAGAGCACTGAGCCGACACGCCGCTGACCCACTGGCCTACTGTAGCAGCGGGTGTGTGTGGCTTCATTGTTGTCAACTGTCTGACTGAACTTGGCGTTATGATGATGCCGCACATGTGGGATCTTTATGAGTCGGACAGCGTCAGGTCGGCGTCACTAATTAATATTAATATCCGCCTGAACTGGAGCAGAGATCCTGCGTGAGGGACGACGCTCCGCTTTAAGACGTCCATCCGCTGACCTCACGTCAGGTTCTCCAGTTGAACTTTCACTCAGATCAGATCGGTATTTTCAGTATTTGGATGTACAGCAGTTATTTCAGTGTGTCAGAAAGTATTTCAGAAAAACCTGGAAAACATTTGATCAATTTTGCAGTCATGGAAGACGCCTGGATGGTTGGTGGCATTAATTCAAGTGACTGAAACTCTGAATAAAGAAAGTTTTCTTAAAAGGTAAATGTGAGTCCCTGCTGGCTGCTCCGTTACGTTTTCTTCTCAACTTGTTTTAAACTGTTGAATAATGTCCAACATGTTTGACTCAGGAGCTGAAGTTTACCTGCTGCTCGCTCGCCTGATTTTTACCTGCTAAGGTTGAAGGTTTGCGTTTCAGCTCTGGTGGTTTCACATGTGTTGTTGAGGAAGTTGGATAAGAATGAATGCGGGTCAGAACAGTGAGGGAGCCCAGCTGCATCAAACACCGGCTAACGGCGCTTTTCACTTTGCTACATTACGATAAAATTCACCGTAACGTGACAGGAAACCGTTTAGCCGTAGCTCTAAGCTTCGTTAGTAAAGGGGCTAACACATGGGCTGTCTTTGAAACGGGCTAAACTGCTGACTCAGAAGGTGTCTAACAGGACAGCGAGGCATCTAGTCCTGTTCGAAACGGCTCGAACGACCTCTTCCTGAGTCTCCTGAGACGCCTTGAAGCTGCCCCAGTAACGGCCAGTTTTGAAGGCAGCATGCTGCCTATGTGATGCATTCTTTAAAACATAGTAATCCTCTCTTGATATTTGCACCCAGATGAAGTAGTCCCGTTTTTTTACCATATTACACATGCATATTAATACACCAAGTTCAATGTATTCAGAGTTTAAATAGAGTCTGACGGATGTGCAGACAGCAACATGTCTGAAAAAGCTGCCGTCACGCTGCGTCTGGGTCAGGAGACGTTAGAAGAGTCCTGGAAAATGATCTGTAGAACAGCGCGGGGCCCCTGGAGCAGCCTCCCTGTCCACTGTCTCCATCATCTTCTGAGAAACACGATCGTTTATCCACCGAGCTTCAGGTGCAAACCAGCTAACACCCGACCCTCTGATGTCACCTGTCACTCAGACACATTTCTGACACATCGCAGACGCCAGCCAGATATCTAGCACGCCAAATATCTGGAGGAGTCGACCGACTGACATCCACATCCAGCCAATGAGAGCAGGGGCTGCTTTTCACTGCAGAACCTTTTTCCTCCCCTGCTGCTCTCTGCAGAGATAATCCATCCTTTCTCCCAGATTCTTTGTCTTATAATGTTTGTCTTTATAATAACAAACAGCTCTTTTCTCTGTAGGTTCGCCTCATTTCCTGTTTCACACGTTTTCTTGACTAAACATGGTTTGGAGACCAGTGTCGGGTGACACTGTCCTTGTCAGCTCGTGTAATAAGATAATAATAATAATCTTTATTTATAGAGCACTTTTCCAAAACAAGTTACAAAGTGCTTTAACAAGTGTAAAGACAATAATACAAAAACAATACAAGATAAAAGCATGAAAACATTGAAAAGACTAAAATACACGTTTAAGATAAATATAAAATAATTAAAATAGAATAAAAGGGATAAAAAAGTCTAATAAGATCGGGAAGGCTCTCCTATAAAAGTATGTTTTAAGAAGGCAGGCTGTTCCAGAGCCTCGGGGCCCTGGAACAGCCTGGGTGTAGCGTGTGACCCCCTGTCACCGATCAGTCACGTATGGTGAACGCCACAACGACTTCAAGACTCCCGTCACATGATGGCATGTTGTGTAGTGTGAACAGCACGGGCGTCTGCCGACGCTGACAGTCGCTTTAGTGGTGAGGTAATGTGTGAGCTGTCTGTAAGGAGGGTAAAGACTCATTCAGTCCGTCAGTGTAGAAAAGCAGGAGGCCTCTTCTTATTTATAACAGCCTCCCCCTCCTCCCCTCTACATAAAGGAGGTCGGCTGCTTTGTGGCGCCGCGGCTACAACTTCAAAGCTTTCTCTACCAGCGTGGAGGGTGATGTCATTCCCTGACCTCCCCCACTGTCTCCCTCTCTCTCTCCCCCTCCCCCCCCGGTGCTTGGACGAGGAGCTTGAATCCTGAGTTTAGTTGCATAAATATTACTATACTGTAATTATATTCTCTCGTATACTAATGCTATAAATGTGTATTTATATAGTGAAGCAGAGAGAAACCCTCTCGTACCGCTGCAATAACGCATTAGAATAACGAACACTAAGCCGTTTGATCGGCCGATACATGAGGGTCAGGTCAGAGGTTAATCTGAGGCCACGCCCCTTGCTATGGCATCACATGTGAACAGCTGACCCTCTCTCTCTCTCTGCAGGCCTATGCTGGGCGTTGGAGGGCATGCGCCACCTAGCTGGTATCAGTATGGAGGAGTGCACGCTGCCAGACAAATGCCAGGCTGTGATTGGCTGCCTGGAGGACTACCACCGCCAACACCCGCCAATCCCGGACGGCCGGTTTCAGGAGATGAAGGCGGTGGCGGGCGAGCTGCGCGGCGAGCGAGGGCTCCGTCAGTGGAGCTTTGCCTGGTCCAAGTGTCAGGAGACCAAGATGATGTTTGACAGGAAGATGGAGGCGGCGCTCAGGACACGAGACTCCGCCCACAGGCAGCGCTCTGACTCCACCTCCAGTAGAAGCTCCGCCTCCTCCAGGAAAACGCTGTCAGGACTCTGGGGGGTCCACGAGACCTCCTGTCCCCCTGAGGAGGACTCCAAAACTTCCTCCCTTCCTCGTAACACCTCCTCCTCCTCCCTGCTCTCCCTCACCCCCACCCCTCGTAACACACTCCTCCTCCTCCTTGCTCTCGCTCACC